TTATTATTCTTACACAATCAGTTCTTGTTTAGTAAATCAGTCTCGAAACAAGATCAAAAAGACTTTTTGGCTGGATATAAGATTTTAAAACTTGGTAAGATGGACAGTTTTTGCAGTGTAGCTGCCAGGTAATAAAAYACCAAATTTGAACAAGACATGTAAAAACTCCTCGTTGTGACCCATTTTGCCAGCATTATTGCACTTTGTTCATATTTGTTAGTTAGTTTATAAGTTTTGTGGCACTTCAGAAGCCTAAACAGAGGGTTCCCAGGGATRTCATGATGTTAGATGGATCCAAACATGAATCATTAATGAACTGAGCAGATGAATACTCTATTTTAGCACCAACAAGGACATGTGCTGGATTTCAGCAAAAGTTGAAATGCCCCACTTACTGTATGTTGCTACAGTGTGATAAGTTCTCTGATCCCTGAACAAACGTGCATCAACTTAACTCAACCTGAGCCCAATTTGAGTTTCACTTTTTGTGTGTGTGAGCTCAGCAGGTGACAGAAAACACACGCTCCTACTCAAAAAGAGAAAAATAACTGACATGTCAAACAAAAACAGAAGTGAAGTGGATAACAGAGAGCAACTCGCAGGGGGAAACACTCTATGCCAAATCACACTACGCCTTAGCGCTTACACCTTGTCAACCACAGTGACTTCGCTGACTGAGAGCTCTCCTGAGGGAGAGGTTCTCAGTCAAGACAAATCAAGCCTCACCCTCGTCCATGTCCCTGGAGAAGCGGGTCAGGATGCGACCCAGAGGTGTCGTATCAAAAAAGTGCATGGGGCTGAAGAGGAGCCTGTGGAACAGCTTGTCATGGAGTGCGGAGGCAGCCTTCACCGTGCACTGTCGACACAAACAACATGCTGCGTTTGAACGAGCGAGACCTCGACACATGTAAACAAAMTGCGTCTACAAACATACGGCAACAATCAGAGTCTGGCTGAAGTTGGGAAAAAGAAATCATGCGACGATCRTCACACAAATACAGTGGTGCTCACAGGTTGCCTGCAGAGTTTACAAACACTACCTCGCCATATGCMGAGCATGTGCACGGCGCTGGGTGGCTATTTTCCTTCCCTCGCACCAAGCGGGCTGTCAAATCCTGATTTATAATGAGTTTCTAGAGGCTTACATAAAGGTCACGACCCAATTTGCGAGAGACATTTCACCAATTGGACAGAAATTACATGTGGCAGCAAAGAACAAAATAATTAATTAATTCTATTAATGGAATATTTAGCACTCACAAAAATCCTGTCACAGCTTGAGGTAATAATGGATGTTCAAAACATAGCTTAAATACCTTTTATTTATTTTAACTGCATCCTCTTTTGTTTATTTGTTTTAAACTTATTTGCCTTCCATGGACCTTCATCACACATTTTTC